ATTCTGTTAAATGCTTTGTTCAGTGTCTAATGCATCGCAATTTTGGTTAAAAAGACATAATAAAAAAGTTAATTTATGATTTTTATCTTCATGAATTAGTTTTATATTTTCATATGCAACATGTCAAATAAAATTGTTGCCTAGTTAAACATAATTTTACACTTGTCATGAACACGTGTACGTTTATAAAGGACAGGTGGAATGTATACGTTCTCAAAAATGACTCAGGACAAATTTGTTAAATCGGCCTTGCCCTTCACAATTATACCAAATATTGCCGATCAAATGCTTTCTTGTTATATGCTTTCATGATCCTTAATGAAAATGGGACTGGGATTACATTAACGTTCTTTCGACTTTGATTACTTCCAGTCTGTTACTGATATTCCCTGTTGCTACGAAACTTAATTAAAACTCTCCTTATATTCTGTACGTAATGACAAAAAAAGACGTCGAGTATTGGTTAAGTACTTGGTTGTGACAAATATACGAAACGAATCTATGCGTTCTTATGTCTAGGTGGTTCCAACCGGTCCCTTTATAACTGTTTTTAGTACTGGCATTATTACAAGTGATGGACGCAGCATTTTTTAAAACAATCCTGATGAGGACAAGGTCGTGTGAGCTAAATCGAATCCTTGAAAAGGTTTGTTGCTTTAAAGACATTTTTCAGCACGTGTTACACTATACGTTGTGGCCGGTATATTTGGTGCAGGAAGAACCCAGGAAGACACAACGAAGAACTAAGTTTTCTCACATAGCCATGTTGGTAGAGCTGAGACTTAAACCCATGCAGAAAGAAGAGAGATGAGAATGACCTTAGACCACTCGGCAATCCTTGGCCAATCCATGAAAAGGATGACGAGATACCAAGAATTACTACTGCCCGAACATGACCCTGCAACGCTTACACAAATCTGTAAATCTTGGATAAGTCTACTGCTGAGGTCATAACATTAATTTTGGATTCGTAGAAATATTAGCAATAATACTAGTAAAACGCTTGTACATAAAAAGAACAAAGAAATAAATATTCGAGATACTTGTTTGCCCTAAAATTAGTGCAGTTAATCTAAATCGTTATAATGATAATAATAATAATAATAATAATAATAATAATAATAATAATAATAATAATAACGATAATAATATAATAATAATAATAATAATAATAATAATAATAATAATAATAATAAAAATAATAATAACAAATAATAATAATATTAATAACAATAACAATAAAAATAAAATTAATAATAATGAAGATGATGATGATGATAATAATGATGATGATAATGATGATGATGATGATGATGATGATGATGATGATGATGATGATGATGATGATGATGATGATGATGATGATGATGATGATGATGATGATGTGGACTTAGTACAGCCAGCGGAGGTTGCAGAGGAGGGAGGTTTTCTTTAATTTCCTTCGTAATCAAAAGACGATCCGAACAGCTGTGTTTTGAACTTCTGAAGTTTCTTTAGTAGATACTGAAACGAGCCAGATAGAAGTGAATTTCAATTTTCCAGTCTTGAAAATAGTGAAGATCAACTGCCTGTTTTAATGTCATCAATCGAAGGAAAAGTGTAAATGGGGCTAATGATCTAGATATGCAACCCTGCATATATTCATGACATGCTGGTGTTATAAGAGTTTACTGTCGAGGGTGACACCTAGGTTTCGTACTGACTGTGAATTTAATTTTGGTGTTGCTGATAATTATTGCTTCTTGCATGTCATCCACGACTTCACACCGGAAATGCAGCCATATACGCCGTAGACGGTAGGTTCGTCTTCAGATGGTCAAGATTTGTGTATTTGAGTGTATTTAAACTTTTACGTACTCTTTTGTAAATAAGCACTGTAAACACAAACATCATGGGAGTTGTATGTTATTTTTTGTGTTCAATTCACAGCTCTACTTGAGTTGTTTTTTTATATGCTTATTGTCAATCAAAAAGAAAAGACGTACCATTAAAACAAATGGGCTATTCAGAAATTCGTTCTATTAAATCAAAAGGGAACAATGTCGGAAATATTTTGCAAATATAAAAGATTAAATTGTTATGAACATAATTATTTGATGTGAACTTATTAGAAAGGTGCGAGACAAAATACGATTGATTTCTGGTCCACCTTCAATCACCTCCTACCATTAAAGGCAAGAAACAATCAAAGAACAAAACTATACTACCTGAGGACAAAATTATACTTCCTGAGAACCAGACTACATTTCCTGAGGACAAAATTATACTTCCTGAGGACAAAATTATACTTATTTAAGACAAAAAACGTGCTGTGGACAACAAATTAATAACTGACCAAAATATAGAATGTAATATAAGATGAATATTATGCAAATAATCCTAAAAATAAAAGACGAACATTCAAATATCTTTACAATTACGAGGGGGCGTGGACATGTTGAAATAATTTAGCTGAAACCTCCCGTAGAACACAAATATAGTTATGCAAACAAAGCAAAAAGAAGAGAGAATACACCATCAAATATAATTAATGCCGGTAAACTTTTTCTATAGAAGAAACATTAATAATGTTTTTCTTAATTGTATTGAGCTAAGTTTGACTTTAGATGATTTTTCACATTCTGTCTTTAGAAATATGAACTTATATACTTATATATATATATATATATATATATATATATATATATATATATATATATATATATATATATATATATATATATATATATATGTGTGTGTGTGTGTATATATATATATATATATATATATATATATATATATATATATATATATATATATATATATATATATATATATATATATATATATGTATGTATATATATATATATATATATATATATATATATATATATATATATATATATATATATATATATATATATATATATATATATATATATATATATATATGCATATATATACATATATATGAGATATAGATATATAGATATAGAGAGAGAGAGAGAGAGAGAGAGAGAGAGAGAGAGAGAGAGAGAGAGAGAGAGAGTAAAATTATGGAAATCCAATCATTTCTAAAACAAATACTAGTCTTGGAAGGTTGTTATCTTAACCTATTTCTGTAGCACTTGGAATGGTTCCTTTATTGAAAAAATCTTTACAGAAAACGAGCGAGAGTTGTTCCGATTATATTTGTATGTTGACGTAGTGATGATGTTTCCCGTAGGACAAGTTGTCTCAAAATCACATATGTTAAAACATCTAGCTCCTGCAAAGTTATGATAATGTCCGAGTAGCTACGATTGTAAACGATCTCTTTATCCTGAAGAAGCTTACTCCGTGCGATATTTGCCCTTGCCGCCCCAAATCGATAGTCACTCGCCTAATTGTCGTAAATGCTCTCGGCAAACTATTTGCTTAAATACCCAATTATGTTAAACGACCACAACACGCGGTACATTATTTCTCTATCTGTCAAAAAATAATGCAGCCAGACTTCAATTAACCCGGAACTTGCATTGCATATTCCTAACTTCGGGGATACTAGACGAGAGAAAAAGAGTTTTATTGAACTAGGTTTAAAGAAAGACTGATAAAAGCATTATTTCCGGTGCAAATAGTATACGCTGATATGGATATATCGTGCAGTATATTTTACTGATTTTCAGAAATGCAAAAAAAAGTAAAAGAGGTTTTCCTATTTTATGTTGTGTAATATATATATATATATATATATATATATATATATATATATATATATATATATATGTATGTTTTTATGTATATGTATATATTTATGTATATATGTATATATATATATATATATATATATATATATATATATATATATATATATATATATATATATATATATATATATATATATATATATATATATATATATATATATATATAAATGAATAGATTATATCGGGAGTTTTTTTATTGTTGTTTTAATTGTAACCTTTCTTTCTTTTACCTGTGGAATGATGTGATATATTAAGTACGTTATATAAATGAGTAAAAAGGATGTCATTGGCCCAGTGGATGATCAATGAGAGAGGGCAAGTATGTCCCAACAATAGAAAGTCGAGGGAAACAACGTCTTTAGTTTATCCAGGTGGTGAAATGCCACAACTATGGCATTGAATATCAACAAACGAAAAAGTTCAAAAGATCAACGTTGTAGAGATTGTTCAAGCAGCTTGACTGTGGACGATTTATGTTTAGAGTATTTTTAGCCGATTTATGATACTGATGATTATGCATTTACGTTTTTATGCTTATAAATGTATATAGTCCCATCAACAAAATATACAAAATACGAACAATAAAATGAAGAGTGTATTAAAGACAGAATTGTGTCAGAAATTGGATGAAATACTGTGATGGTGTTCCCAAATAACCACAAACAAGGGAGCCAGGCACAAAGAACAATGTGTCATGATTTACTGTCATAGTGCTAAAGGTAATGCTCACCAGACTATGCATGCTTGAGCGAATTTGCATATTTATTTTAAAAATTACTAGCATAGTTAGACTTGGGGGTTTCATTTCATACACTAAAGAATTGTTTAACCAGCCAGACTGGAGAGTATTTAAAAAAATCTTTAAAACGTTGTTAGTAAAATCTCACGAAATAAAAATAGTAATTGAATTATTACTACGAAAAGACCTGGAAATTAATTTCTTAATTTTCTAAATAAACCTAGAAGTTATCGTGGTGTGTGTGTGTGTGTGTGTGTGTGTGTGTGTGTGTGTGTGTGTGTGTGTGTATGTGTGTGTGTGATTTAGAATTTTAACGTAGCTTTAACAATTTCTCAGACATATCGCTACGATGTCTGCAGTGTGACAGTTTATAGTGATGTTTAGCACTGAGACATCTTACCACATACATGTGGCATGATATCACACTCAGTCACATTATCCTGACACCAGGCCGAGTAGTCTTAACACTAGCCTCTTAATGCTGAGCGCCAAGCGAGGCAGCTGTTAGTATCATTTTTTAAAATACATTGGTATGACTCGACTGGGGTTCGAACGCGCGACCTCCCGCATCCGAGGCGGACGCTCTAACCACTAGGCCACCGGTGCGGTTTAAATGATGTTGAGACGTGAATATAACTTGAGAAGTTCGTCATTTTGATTCAGTAAAGGGAAATTCAAATAAAGTTCCTATACCTAAATGACGTTAATGCATAGGTTGCAGAATGCAATATACCTCATGTATGCAATTTAGACAAAATTACAATTGCCTCAGTTGGCATGGAAACACTTTACGGAACTGAAAATATAAATATGAACGTCCATAGAATACAGACAGAAGTACAATAAAATACAGATTTTTCGCAAGACATTAAAGATTGGGCATGTCCTGGTAAAGGCTATTGAAACAAAAAACGATCTTAAAACAAACAACAAAAAACCCCACGAAGATATCTTACTTTACCTTTACTTTCAAGTACCACAATTATATCATTTTATCATATCTTCATTTAACTTTAGTGACTGTTTTTAGAACATTAGTTCTCTGTGATACTCGTCGTGGACTTTCTTGCTGGCTTATAAATGTATAACTGTAAGGTTAACGTTATCTGTGACACAAAATAATTTTTATTTATTTATTGTTTAAATTAGAAAACAGACACACATTTTGGCTCTCATCATCCAAACGTGCCAATCCCATTGAATGTTTCATTTAAACACTATTTTTATAGAAGAAAGATATTCCGATCGATTTATGTAGACTTTTCTCGAAACTCCTGTCACATGCTTTTAAACTGTAATGGTCGATAAAGACTGCCATGAACTGGCTGGGCAGATTGAACCGAATGTTAGCAGTGTTACGTTTGTAATACCTTTTAGATTCATGTTAATTAATAAATTATATTTAAATTAGAATTATTAACCTTGACAAAAATACTTCACTTGGAAGGCCGTTTTTTTATTTTTTTTACATGTGACATTTTACGATAAATAATGATTATTGATATTTTTCAAAGGAAACCAGAAGTTAGTTTTTGAAACAAAACAATATTGAACTGAGTACTGGATTAAACCATTTTCCAACACATTTTTAATTTTGGCTAACATTACATACATAGTTGTTATACTGAAAGATAAAGTTTCTGGAAATTATTGTTTATCTTTAATGTGTTCGGATGAAAACGATTCGAGCGCTTATCAAAGTACATTTTGCCGTTACTGAACCGAGATCAGGGATTGTTTTTTTGTAGAGACGAGCCAGTGATATCAATGTACTTAGGACCATTCTAATATCAAACGAATTATCTCAGTAGTATTGAACTTCGAAGAAATTTTGATGATTAGCAACCAACATTTTCCATCTTCAGCGCAATTCAGAGAAACAAATGCTTCGACGTAGGAACTGAAAGCGACAGAGGAACATTAGAAGATCTTCAGATAATGCGTGCAAGTAACGCAAGGTATTTGAAAGCCATATGACACATAACAATAGCCGGTTAGGGCTGTAAGGAGTGCAGAATTCGAACCCTGGCCTTTTCGGTCGCGAGTCAAGCAAGCTTATCACAAAACAACACTATCCAGCTGGTTCCGGTCAAAATTGACAAACTAATATCATAAGTCTGTAGCAAATAAAATCCCCATCTCCCATATATTAAGACAGTGATATAATAATGGCGATGTTGATCCATCCATCAATTCCCACCCCGTCTCTATCCTCAAATGTACTAGCTTGAGAATTGTTTCAATCATATGCGATACCATTGAAACCCCTATAAATACCAGTTCAGAAACTAACCTTGTAACGCGAAATTTAATCGTTGCGACTGTAACAATTACCTTTGCATCGACAAAATTTAGTGCTGTAAGGATAACTGAATACAAATGCAACGATACGTGCCTATCGTTTCAACGGTACAAGTACTATTCGAGTTTTCGTACGATACAGACGTCATAAACCCAAGTAAACAGTTCATGTATGTTAATATATACATTACAACTTCCGCTTAGCTCCGGAATGGCGACTTTAGAAAAGCCAAAGGTCAATATTCATATTTGATTTTGATCATATATGATTTCTAGCCAGGAAACAATTTGTATTTATACAATTCCGTCTTGCTGTACTAATGAGTGAAAACGGAAGCAAGGAAGAGATAATACTGAATAGGGTCAAAGTCCGGTCTATCCCTATTAAGCCCGCATCTGAACTGTTAGGTTTAAAGGTTAGCTAGTAACCCAGATGGCTTTCATAGGATTTGGGTCAATTGCTGAAACAACATGTTACATAGATGTGGTTTTTCTTGGCTTGTTAAATCTGACAGCCATAAATATGAAAACTAATCGCTTTTATATCTAAGAACCAGCTGTCAAAATTTAGGACAATAGCAAACAAATAGTATGAAATTCGCAATTTCCATTTTGCATATGGTTGCTATAAAATATTCTTAAATTGCAGCTCTAATTCAATACAAAATGTTTTTGTTTTTTTTACGAAACTCGATGTACGAAGATATTTTAAAGACCCCTACAAATAAATTAGAAATATTTTTCTCCAAAATGAATATATTTTAAAACCCTTTGTATAAAATTAATTTAAAAATAGTTTCAGCATCAACTTTGCAGTTTAGCTTCCTTTGACAAGGAAAAGACAACATTATCAGGCCTCCAGCCTGTTCAATTCGGGTTATGCATATTCGGGTATACGAGCTGTACATTATTTGGGAATTCGGGTTATACATATTGGGTATACGAGATGTACATTATTTGGGAATTCGGGTTATACATATTCGGGTATACGAGATGTACATTATTTGGGAATTTGGGTTATACATATTCGGGTATACGAGATGTACATTATTTGGGAATTCGGGTTATACATATTCGAGTATATGAGATGTACATTATTTGGGAATGTGGGTTATACATATTCGGGTATACGAGATGTATGTACATTATTTGGGAATGTGGGTTATATATATTCGGGTATACGAGATGTACATTTTTGTTTGGAATTCAGGTTATACATATTCGGGTATACGAGATATACATTATTTGGGAATTCGGGTTATACATTATTCGGGTATATAGTTAAGCATTATTCGGGAATGGGGGTGGGTCACTCGCAGTCCAAGTGGTAGTACGTCTGTTCCGGCAGTAGAGACTGGGAGTTAAAGATTTTCTGAAACGGAGATATATTATTACAACCAACGTTCTGAATATGGGTTCCTTGAACCTTATCTGGCACTGATTAAAATTAATTGTAGTACGTCTTTTCGCCAGAAATAAAAGAGATGAGGTAAAAAGAGGTTTATAAAACGTTATGGTGAAATCATTGAATTCCTCCCGTAATATTCATTGGTTTTCCTCTTGGATCCCTTCACATTGTAGTGACAGGGGGGGCATTCTTAATCTACTTGTACGTCTGTAATGAGTCTTATTACCAGATAACAACCACATCAAAAATGGGACAACGTACAGAATGCTTTAATTAATATCAGTAAACTTCGTTAAAATGAACGATGTCCTAGATTATTTTGAAATGAAATACAATAGAAAAACACAAAAACCACTTTTTTGTACCCATTTTATAAAGGTTGTATACATTATTTTCTTTAACTAAATCCTCACACGAATGCTCATCTGTTACACTTTCCGGGACGGACTCGGCATATTCCACACACCTGAGTATTGTGAACGTATTTGTTAAAGGCAGACTACTTTTGTTTTTGGTGTTTACCCTTATGAGAAACCAAGTTTATGCCTATCGATCATCAGAACACTGAAATATGTATTACGTAATAAACAAGTTAATGATATATGTTGGTGAAATTGTATATATAAAATTTTTGTACAGGTGTAAGTTATTAAAAATACAAGAGATCAGTGAGATTTAGTCAAGTAGTCCACTTTACGAATGAGTCTACTATTTTGTAAAGATCAAGGAAACAATGGGGACATAGGAATCGAGAACAGCCAAAAGGAGGTATGAACTTATTATTTCATGCTCCTCGATATTTGTTTTAACACCCTTACAACGCGGTCAATATCTTAAAACAGTTTATTAACCATTCTACCAAGAGAAATACCTAATATGTTTATGGTTCCTGTATTATATAATTTTCTAATCATAATGTCGTACGTGTTGTGGAACTCCTTGCGAGACTATGAAATGTCACTTTTAATATCCGCTACTAACCACATCCTTGTTTATTGATCCAGGTCAATAGTAAAATTCCCGAAATCATGGTGTATTGTTCGGCAACTACGGAATTCTGAAATAATTGTCTTCTGAAATATGCCGGTTCATTGTGCATTGTGTGTGTGTGTGTGAGAGAGAGAGAGAGAGAGAGAGAGAGAGAGAGAGAGAGAGAGAGAGAGAGAGAGAGAGAGAGAGAGAGAGAGAGAGAGAGAGAGAGAGAGAGAGAGGCTTTAAAAATGTTTCACTCATATTGCAACAATGTATGCAGTGTGACAGTTTATTATTGATGTCTAGCACTGGGGCATCATGCCGCAGACATGTGGCATGATGTCCCACCTAGTCACATTATCCTGACACTAGGCCAACCAGTACTAATTATAACATCTTAATGTTGAGCGCCAAGCGAGGCAGTTGTTAATACCTTTTTTTAAAGTCGTTGGTATGACTCGGCCGGGGTTCGAACCAGCAACCACCTCCCACATCCGAGAAGAGACAGACAGACAGAAAGACAAACAGACAGACAAAGACAGAGACAGAGAGAGAGACAGAGAAAGAGAAAGTGAGAGAGAGACAGAGAGAGAGAAAGAGAGAGACAGAGAGATAGAGAGTTGTATAACAGCTTGTGAAAAAACAATTTAATATTCTTAGTGATGAAAGAAACTATATCAGTTACACATTTAACAGAAAAACTTAGATGAGTCTTACATTTAATTTTCTATCACTGCATATCTAATACTAACAATGCATACCTAATACTAACAATGCATACCTAATACCAACAATGCATACCTAATACCAACAATGCATATCTGATACTAACAATGCATACCATATACTATTAATGCAAACCTAATACTAACAATGCATATCTAATACTAATAATGTATACCTAATACTAATAATGCATACCTAA